TTTAAGAAATCAACCTTCCTTTTCCTGCTCTTATCTGATTGGAGACCTCTGACATTAAATGTTATTATTTTGATGTTACTCATAGGTTTACTAAAGGAGAGACCATCTCAGAAATATTACTCACGGAGGACTTGGTCTATTATCCTTCCGCTTATCTCTTCCAGAGCTAGAAGCAGAAACGCTCCTTTTTCTGCTTCCTCTCGTATCCTCGTTGACGAGCTCGTTGAGGGCCGGGTGACTTCCACTAAAGAAGATCTTCCGTTTTACTTTCGTTTCCCCGGGCAGCGAAGCAAGAGCCAGAGATGCCGCCTCTGAGAGAGGGAAGGATCCATGGTCCTCGCTATCTCCGTCGTCCTCAGGTGTCTGCTCGCTGTCAATTTCTTCACCATCCGATGTCTCTATGATTAGGTTACCATCTAGCTCTTCATCACTCTCGTCGCTTTTTTTACTTGACTGAGACAGTGGAGATGGTAACTCATTTTGAACAGGGCTAGACTGGGTATCCTGTTCATCCACTTGTGGATTGTCCAATCCAGGCGAAACTGGGAGTGACAGTGAGGTAGTTGTCGGAGGAAGGTGGGGAGGAGTAGAGGGAGGGGGCTCTCTCACCTGGTCATTCACAGGGGGATCCAAGACTTGGGAAGGGTCCACCAAAGAAGGGAAATCCATGGTGGCAGAAGGTCGAGGTTGTTGGGAAGATTTAAGTATATTCACAAAAGACTTGGGGCATTTAAAGAAAGTGTGTCCTTTCGCACCACAGAGGGAGCACTCACTTTCGTTTTGGCAAATTTTAGCCTTGTGGCCCAGCTCACCACATTTCCAACATTTGACAGTGGGGCATTCTCTCGCTTGGTGGTCTGGACCTTGGCAGATGAAACACCTCACCGATTGGCCCGGATAAATAATCCTGCCATTGTAGGGGCCCAACGAGATGGAATTCGGAATAGAAATTATATGTCCAGCTTCGTCTCTACGCATCCGAACTTTGTATTTTCGGACTCCATACCAGAATCCGAATTTATCCACTGGCTTGACTGGGGGTTGAAGAATCTCGCAATACCTTTTAAGATATAACTCGATATCTTGGTCTGGAATCCTTCCAGTCCAGAACTTAACAACAAGAGTCACTACCTCTACCTGGACAGAAGACTCCACTTGCCAGTCTTTCCATTTCGGATGTGATGCGTTGGAAAGGGAGATCTCTAAGAAGCGACGTAAGGGTGCCTCTTCGGTGAAACACAGCTCAAAATCCCGTTTACTGGGGAGAGCAATGAAGGAGTATATGTCCTGCACATTCAGCCATGATGTTTGCAATATCAGCTCTTCAGCAACATAATCACGGGTCGGGGGGTCCCCGTCTCCGATGTACTTGAGTCTCACCCATAAATTGCTGAAGTTTGAAGCAAACGATAATGGGGCATACGGGGGCATGATTACATAACTAATAACCAATTCCTCCGGTCTTTCCGCGCCCACTCATTTTGACAGGTTCTTTTCTTCGTAGTATCGACACTCAAAGGAAAAAGTTTATAGATAAGCCAACTGATTTGGCACGTTAGAGGTCAGGGTTCAGCAACTCAATGTCCTTCTTGAGAGCTTTAAGGTCGCATGAAATGCTTCGAGCACACAAATCCACTATTGTCCTTAAAACAGGGGTTGACAAAGTCATTCTAACAAAATCAACACTTACGAATCATTTTCTGTTCCTCTGATCTCCAGCTGCCCCCTATCATCTAAGCAAACCTAAGTACATTGTATTGTAATCATTGTTTTATTGTACTCACAATAGACACAAACCTAAGCGTAGACGTAAGTGACTTTGCAAAATGTCCCGAATTCAGTAGCAGTGCTGAACATGTCGCAAACAGCTCCACATTTTCCTCCCTCTGTACCTGGATAGTTCCTGCAGCACCAAAGAACTCCACCTGTCCCGCTCCTCATGTTATGATTTCCTATTGTGTTTGACAAGGTTTGTGATCTTGCCATATGTGTCATGTACCACGTGTTGTCCGTTTCCATGAGCGTAGAAACAGTTTTAATTATCAAGCGAGTGAACCATGATGAGTGTCTACAGTCATAGTTATGAAGCTAATAATTAGTGTTATCCTATTTATTCTAAATTAGTAAGATGAGCATTGAGGTTGGGCATGAACAATTTTATTAAGGGCATGAACAATGAGAGGTGGTGGATTGGCCAGATGCAGGTCGATGTGTAAAAATAACTCAGTTGTTTGGTGGTGGCTATGGCGGAGCTTCCACAGAGGCCAGCAGGTGGATGAGGGAAGGGGAGGCAGGAGGAGGAGAGACCCGAGGCAGCCGCCAGTCCGAGTGTCAGGTGAACTGAACTTCAGGTAAGAAGTTATGACCTGCAGTCTATCTGGGTCAGATATAAACTAAGTTTAGGTGGAGTTTATTTTTGTTGTGCTGACTTTTTACCGTCAGTTGCATTAACTCATACTGCCCGAGCTAGCATGACGGAGTTTCTGTACAGCTGTTCAGTTGCTATGATGTTACTGATAGTGAACTTTATTTTATTCATAAGGTTAGTTAGTTAGTAGAGTTGCCAACGGCTCCTTAAAAATGGAATGGTCCCTCATTCAGAGAAAATATTATGCGTTTGGTATTGAGCTGAGAAGAGACGCAGTTTGTCCCGAACTTTAGCTAGAATGGAAAAAGACAAAGCTGGATTTATTCTGTGTGTTTACGCTGCACAGCTGCCTCTTCTCTCATCTCCCCCCTCCCTCTTCTGTTGCTACTTCAATCATGAAACTGATCAATGATGAGCTGATCAGCTTTTCTCTCTTGTTTGTTTATCGCCCACTTTGTGCCAGAAAGAGGAAACCAGCAGATGTCGCGCTAAACAACAGCAGCACGTTTAAGCTTGATCAGCTGTTGTTAGAATTTATTTAATATTAATTTCCAGTATCAGCTGATGTTTGCTGGAGCCACAGCTGTAAAGCTGCTGGTCATGATGTCGGTTTGGATATGTGGTGAGAGGGAAACATGAAGATGAAACCAGGAGATGTCCTTACTGAATCATCAGAGCTGTGATGGAGAAACAGGTTTACCTTTTAGGTGACATGAATGAGTTGAAGGGAAGTTATGAGCTGTTTCTGAGAGACAAATAACACCAGGATCCTTTTTTAGGTAGCTGACAGCTGGTAACTGTGCAGGTGCGGATCTAGCAAAGTTATGCCAGGGGGCCAGGTAGGGAATTAACAGGGAGAGGGGGGCACAAAGAAATACTTTTCTTTCTTATTCTCATTTAAAATATCTCGCTTTTATTAAATAATTATCTAAATCTTACAACCAAAGTTTTTATCTGATGTCAAATGTATAGAAATCATACATATACCAACAAGACAGTGTACATCACTGTCACAACAGCGTTTGTTTTCATTCAAAGGCTTTATGGCTTTAATACCTGGTGGGCCGGTCTGTAGTCAAAATGCCCGATTTTCTGTCCCAGTCCAGCCCTGCAGGTTAATACTGGCAGTGTCACCATGCCAGCTGACTGTATTTCATCGTCAGCCAGTGTTGTTCTTTATCAATATTACCAAAGTTTACCATAAGGCAGCATAGAAAGTATTTACTTGCTTTCAGGTTTTATTCAAATGTTAGTCTTTTCAGTTGTTTCCCCACTTTTTTCCTGTTTCAAAATCAAACACCAGTTTGTGAGAAGATTATCTTCTTTTTTTTTTCTTTTTCTTTTTTTTTTTTAAATAGGCAGATAAAGTTTTACATTGGAACTGGCTAATTTGTCAATTTTTTGTTACAAATGTTCATATTTTAATATTCAAAAATGTTTTTGCCCAAAACATATGTGCACTACATGTCAGTAAAAATACTATGCAAATATTGCTGTCCTTGACTGCTGAGTAAACACTGACAAAGCACTGATTGTATCTCTTGTACTTTATCCGAGGTGTCCTCGGGAGACATCACCCGTTTCCTTCCCTCACTGGGGATGTAGGGTCTGTCTGCCGGTAGCCCAGCTGCACCCTGCAGCAGCGCTTAACAGCTGATCCCTAATGTAAATGAGGTTGAACAAGGCATGAGCCTTAACCACACAGCAGGAGAGACTGAGAGCTTTTGACTTTTTTTAATTTTGACTTTATACTAAGACCCTCTATTCTTGTGAATAAAACAAACACTGCTTAAGCACTCATGATAGGATATTTTGAAGGTGGATTTCAGTCCCTGACCATGTAAGGTGATATGAATGAACGTACATTTCAAAATAAATCAAGATGCATAATCTACATATCCCAGTTACAGACAGTAACAGCAAGAAGGAGGTTTGCTCAGATAGGTGTGTGTGGCTCTTAAAAGAGCCGTTTTTTGGTGAAGCTGAACGCTTTGCATTTACTTGGCCTTGGCGGGCTTCTCGGTCTTCTTGGGCAGCAGCACAGCCTGGATGTTGGGCAGCACACCACCTTGAGCGATGGTGACTCCCCCAGGAGTTTGTTGAGCTCCTCGTCGTTGCGCACAGCCAGCTGCAGGTGACGTGGGATGATACGAGTCTTCTTGTTGTCGCGGGCCGCGTTGCCAGCCAGCTCCAAGATCTCAGCGGTCAGGTACTCGAGCACAGCTGCCAGGTAAACGGGGGCGCCAGCTCCCACACGCTCCGCATAGTTGCCTTTGCGCAGCAGTCTGTGGACACGACCCACGGGGAACTGAAGCCCGGCACGGGATGAGCGAGTCTTGGCCTTAGCTCTGGCTTTGCCTCCAGTCTTTCCGCGTCCACTCATTTTGACAGGTTCTTCTCTTCGTAGTATCAACACTCAAAAGAAATGTGGCCTGATCGGCTCAAAGCCTCGCTTATATTTCCGCAGAGCGCGCGCAGCTTCGTCACGCACCAATCGCAGAGAGGCTTGCGGCAGCGCGCAATTACAATGCACTTTTCTCCAATGAGAAGCACACACCGAGGCGGGGCGGTGCTCCTCTGAACGGTGCTGAGCACCACGTGGAGCCCCTCACCAATCATGAGCCGGGGAGGCACCGCGTCACAGACACACACAGTTTAAGAGCAGCGAGTCTCCTCTGTTTGCTACAAAATCTGCCCTTAACACAGGAAAAGAAAAGTGAGAAACAATGGCAAGAACCAAGCAGACCGCTCGCAAGTCTACTGGCGGCAAAGCCCCCAGGAAGCAGCTCGCCACTAAGGCTGCCCGTAAGAGCGCCCCGGCCACCGGAGGCGTCAAGAAGCCTCACCGTTACAGGCCCGGTACCGTGGCTCTGCGCGAGATCCGCCGTTACCAGAAATCCACCGAGCTGCTCATCCGCAAGCTGCCCTTCCAGCGCCTGGTCCGCGAGATCGCTCAGGACTTCAAGACCGACCTGCGCTTCCAGAGCTCTGCCGTTATGGCTCTGCAAGAGGCCAGTGAGGCTTACCTGGTCGGTCTCTTCGAGGACACAAACCTGTGCGCCATCCACGCCAAGCGGGTCACCATCATGCCCAAAGACATCCAGCTGGCTCGCCGCATCCGCGGAGAGAGAGCTTAAGCTACTCGCTCACCTACAAACAACGGCTCTTTTCAGAGCCACCTCCCTCCCACCAAGAGCTCGCTCCTTTCTTACTATTACATCAATATTATAGTCACACTTTAATCTTCATGCTCTTTCTATACCAGAAACTACAGTCGGCATGAACGTGGAAATCACTGACTTCAGTTACAAAAATGCTTCATTAATTTTTAGCATGAATTGTTCTATCCTTAAATGTCTCCCTCCTTTACTTATTTACTTTTTTTTTTTTTTTTTTTTTATAAATACTATGGACATGCCAGTAAGCCTAACATGTTAACATTAGTGTACAGAGGCTGTTAAATTTATGTCTAATGTTAAAATGTTGGTGACACAATTTCATCCTAATGGTACTGACATAGTCATAGGGTTAATTTTTGAGACAAAATATCATGAGGTCGTCATGCTTCTGCAAATATTCCACCTTGTAGTGCAGTTTGCACAAACTGTTTTAAAAATGCACTCACCCTACAAACATTACTGATGAGTCAAGATCTACACAAAGTGACAGAAACACTGAAGCAGCTACCCATTTTATTCTTATTGTCATGTATGTCCTATTTGTCAGGTGATAGAAGAACCAACAGAGAGTAATGGTGATACAAGATCACAGGTGAAATTGGAGGATGACTTGGTGGTTCATTACTGTTTTTGAAGCACATGTGTGACTGCATGTATTTGGAATGTCTCCCTGTTATTTATTAGGTGACAGAGGCAGCTCTGCCATGTTGTAGCTCGGACTGAGGTGAAGAGGCGAGGTCACGGGTGACTGACTGATGATTTGGTGCTATAGATTAACTAGTATTTATTATCGTGACAATTGTCAGGCTGCTTTTAGTCATCCCAGTATCCTCGGCTGAGGCTGAAAGAAGCTTCAGTGCTCTCACAAGACTAAAAACGAGATCAACAATGACTCAAATGAGATTAAACAATGCTACTGTAGGCCATGTTCACCAGGAGAGACTGGACAGTATATAAAACCAATATGCCAGCAGTTTATCTCAGTTAACGAGAGGAGCAGGCATGTGTTTGGCTCCTTCACATAGTGGACATTGAGTTGTTGTGTGGGGCACCAGTAATCCATGTCTGTTGCTGTAACAGGAGTTCATGTTTAGAATAAAAAAATCCCAGCTCACTTATTTGATAGGGGCAATAGTGTGCATAAAATGTTGCACAATGTTGCTGAGAGATCTTTTACTTTGTGGTAATCTTAGATGAGTAGTTTTATGGACAAAAACCACCAGGTCATTCAGTGTTCCCTTAGTGCTAATGTATAAGAGATGTTGGTGTATTATAACTGAAGTAATGTTGTTAAGTCCTTAAAGTCATATTCTTTTATTGTCATCACTGTATTTGAAGCTAATTTTATTTTGTATGATACCTGATTTACTATGATGGAATATGGCTGAAGTAAACTAAAGTCTACAATTCTTAGTCATTTGTTTAATAGTAATTTGACATTATATAATTCACATATAAAACTATGAATTGTACTTTTAAATGGTTTAAAAGCATGTAGAACAGCATATGTAGGCAAGTATATTTCTCCTCTTTTTATCAAGAAGCAAAGACAAAAGCAGGGCAGTGTTCGGTGGTTGAATCATCCGTCCCCCACCAATGCCAAAACCAAATCTATGCTCTTGCCAGAATCGTCCCCCGCCACCTGCAGCTGGCCGTTCGCAACGATGAAGAGCTGAACAAGCTGCTGGGCTGAGTGACGATCGCTCAGGGTGGTGTGCTGCCCAACATGCAGGCCAAGAAGACTGAGAAAGGGACAACAACTTCACATTAGAAAGGTAGCCAGTCTTTAAGTGATGACGTGACGAATCCTGCTTCCGGGCCTAAAGTAGTCTGTGTTCAATATGGCTTTTGTGTTGTTAACATGTTTAATGTTATGTATTTTCTTCTATTTAATCTCAAAAAGCTCCTAAAAACAGTCAGTGATCACTGTTGGCCTTCCTCGGCTTTTATTACTGCCAATCATTTTAAAGCTCAATTTTTAAACCCTTATGATGTAACTACAGCCCAGCCCATGCAGCAGTATATGAATGACTGACCTCGTATTGTGGATGAATTATCTCAGTTGTTGTATATATATATATATATATATATATATATATATACATATACATACATGTGATCTTACGTAAATTCAGTAAGATCATAATTCACGTCGGCAGTAATGACACCCGGTTACGCCAATCGGAGGTCACTAAAATCAATATTGAATCGGTGTGCAACTTTGCCAAAACAATGTCGGACTCTGTCGTTTTCTCTGGTCCCCTCCCCAATCAGACCAGGAGTGACATGTTTAGCCGCATGTTCTCCTTAAATTGCTGGCTGTCTGAGTGGTGTCCCAGAAACGATGTGGGCTTCATAGATAATTGGCAAACCTTCTGGAGGAAACCTGGTCTTGTTAGGAGAGACGGCATCCATCCCACTTTGGATGGAGCAGCTCTCATTTCTAGAAATATGGACAAATTTATTAAACCCCCCAAAATATGACTATCCAGAGTTGGGACCAGGAAGCAGAGTTGCAGTCTTACACGCCCCTCTGCAGCTTCTCTCCTCCTGCTACCCCCCCCCCCCCCCCCCCCAAAAAAAAACAAAACAAAACATCTCCATAGAGACTGTGTCGGCTCCCAAACAGACAAAAAACAAACTAAAAACCAGCAACAAACAACTTAAACATAAACAATTACAAAGAAAGAACAATAAAGTATCCACATCTGAACCAAAGAGTAAAACAGTGAAATGTGGATTATTAAATATTAGGTCTCTCTCCTCCAAGTCTCTGTTAGTACATGACTTAATAATTGATCAACAAATTGATTTACTCTACCTTACAGAAACCTGGTTGCAGCAGGATGATTATGTTAGTTTAAATGAATCAACACCCCCGAGTCATTCTAACTACCAGAAATCTCGAAGCACAAGCCGAGGGGGCGGTGTGGCAGCAATTTTTCACACCAGCCTATCAATTAATGAAAGACCAAGACAGACTTTTAATTCATTTGAAAGCCTGATGCTTAGCCTCGTCCACCCCAGCTGTAAAACTCAGAAACCAGTCTTACTTGTTATCATCTATCGTCCACCTGGGCCTTACACAGAGTTTCTGTCTGATTTCTCAGACTTTATATCTAATTTAGTTCTGAGCTCAGATAAAATAATTATTGTGGGTGATTTTAACATCCATGTAGATGCTAAAAATGACAGCCTCAACATGGCATTTAATCTGTTATTAGACTCAATTGGTTTCTCTCAAAATGTAAAAGAACCCACCCACCACTTTAATCACACTCTAGATCTTGTTTTAACATATGGCATAGAAACTGAACATTTAACAGTGTTTCCTGAAAACCCTCTCCTGTCTGATCATTTCCTGATAACATTTACATTTACAATAATTGATTACACAGCGGTGGAGAGTAGACTTTATCAAAGTAGATGTCTTTCTGAAAGCGCTGTAACTAAGTTTAAGAATATAATCCACCCACTGTTATCATCTTCAATGCCCTGTACCAACATAGAGCAGAGCAGCTATCTGAACACTACCCCAACAGAGGTCGATTATCTTGTTAATAATTTCACCTCCTCACTACGTACGACTCTGGATACTGTAGCTCCTGTGAAAACTAAGGTCTCTAATCAGAAGTACCTGACTCCGTGGTATAATTCTCAAACACGTACCCTAAAGCAGATGACTCGTAATCTGGAGAGGAAATGGCGTGTCACAAATTTAGAGGATCATCATTTAGCCTGGAGAAATAGTTTGCTGCTTTATAAGAAAGCCCTCCGCAAAGCCAGAACATCTTACTATTCATCACTGATTGAAGAAAATAAGAACAACCCCAGATTTCTCTTCAGCACTGTAGCCAGGCTGACAAAAAGTCAGAGCTCTTTTGAGCCAACAATCCCTTTAACGTTAACTAGTAATGACTTCATGAACTTCTTCACAAATAAAATCTTTATCATTAGAGAAAAAATTACCAGTAATCATCCCACAGATGTAATATTATCTACAGCTACTCTTAGTACCATTGATGTTAAGTTAGACTCTTTTTCTCTAATTGATCTTTCTGAGTTAACTTCAATAATTACTTCCTCCAAACCATCAACGTGTCTTTTAGACCCCATTCCTACAAAACTGCTCAAAGAAGTCCTGCCATTAATTAATTCTTCGATCTTAAATATAATCAACCTATCTCTAATGATCGGCTATGTACCACAGGCCTTCAAGCTAGCTGTAGTTAAACCTTTACTCAAAAAGCCATCTCTAGACCCAGCAGTCTTAGCTAATTATAGGCCAATCTCCAACCTTCCTTTCATATCAAAAATCCTTGAAAGAGTAGTTGTCAAACAGCTAACAGATCATCTGCAGAGGAATGGTTTATTTGAAGCGTTTCAGTCAGGTTTCAGAGCTCATCACAGCACAGAAACAGCTTTAGTGAAGGTTACAAATGATCTTCTTATGGCCTCTGACAGTGGACTCATCTCTGTGCTTGTCCTGCTAGACCTTAGTGCAGCATTCGATACTGTCGACCATAATATCCTATTAGAGCGATTAGAACATGCTGCAGGTATTACAGGTACTGCGCTGCAGTGGTTTGTATCATATCTATCTAATAGACTCCAATTTGTTCATGTAAATGGAGAGTCCTCTTCACACACTGAGGTTAATTATGGAGTTCCACAGGGTTCAGTGCTAGGACCAATTCTGTTTACATTATACATGCTTCCCTTAGGCAGTATCATTAGAAGACATAGCATACATTTTCACTGCTATGCAGATGACACCCAGCTCTATCTGTCCATGAAGCCAGATAACGCACACCAATTAGTTAAACTGCAGGAATGTCTTACAGACATAAAGACCTGGATGGCCGCTAACTTTCTGCTTCTTAATTCAGATAAAACTGAGGTTATTGTACTTGGCCCTGAAAAGCCTAGAAATATGGTATCTAACCAGATTCTTACCCTGGATGGCATTACCTTGGCCTCCAGTAACGCTGTGAGGAACCTTGGAGTCATTTTTGACCAGGACATGTCCTTCAATGCACATATTAAACAAATATGTAAGACTGCGTTCTTCCATTTGCGCAGCATCTCTAAAATTAGAAATATCCTGTCTCAGAGTGACGCTGAAAAACTAGTTCATGCATTTATTACTTCCAGGCTGGACTACTGTAATTCATTATTATCAGGATGTCCAAAAAACTCACTGAAAAGCCTTCAGCTAATCCAAAATGCTGCAGCAAGAGTACTGACAGGGACTAGAAAGAGAGAGCATATTTCTCCTGTTTTGGCTTCCCTTCATTGGCTTCCTGTTAAATCCAGAATTGAATTCAAAATCCTGCTCCTAACATACAAGGTCTTAAATAATCAGGCCCCATCTTATCTTAATGACCTTGTAGTACCATATCACCCTATTAGAGCACTTCGCTCTCGCTCTGCAGGCCTACTTGTTGTTCCTAGAGTATTTAAAAGTAGAATGGGAGGGAGAGCCTTCAGTTTTCAGGCCCCTCTTCTGTGGAACCAGCTTCCAGTTTGGATTCAGGAGACAGACACTATCTCTACTTTCAAGATTAGGCTTAAAACTTTCCTTTTTGCTAAAGCATATAGTTAGGGCTGGACCAGGTGACCCTGAATCCTCCCTTAGTTATGCTGCAATAGACATAGGCTGCCGGGGGATTCCCATGATGCATTGAGTTTTTCCTTTCCAGTCACCTTTCTCGCTCACTATGTATTAACAGACCTCTCTGCATTGAATCATATCTGTTATTAACCTCTGTCTCTCTTCCACAGCATGTCTTTTATCCTGTCTTCCTTCTCTCACCCCAACCGGTCGCAGCAGTGGCCGCCCCTCCCTGAGCCTGGTTCTGCCGGAGGTTTCTTCCTGTTAAAAGGGAGTTTTTCCTTCCCACTGTTGCCAAAGTGCTTGCTCATAGGGGTCATATGATTGTTGGGTTTTTCCTCTGTATCTATGAAGCGCCTTGAGGCGACTTATGTTGTGATTTGGCGCTATATAAATAAAATTGAATTGAATTGAATATACATGCATATACATATATATATACATATACATATATAAAACACCCAGCACGCCCCTGCGGGCGGTTTATCCTCCAAGCTCGGGTCCTCTACCAGAGGCCTGGGAGCTTGAGGGTCCTGCGCAGTATCTCAGCTGTTCCCAGGACTGCGCTCTTCTGGACAGAGATCTCCGATGTTATTCCCGGGATCTGCTGGAGCCACTCGCCTAGCTTGGGAGTCACCGCACCTAGTGCTCCGATTACCACGGGGACCACCGTTACCTTCACCCTCCACATCCTCTCGAGCTCTTCTCTGAGCCCTTGGTATTTCTCCAGCTTCTCGTGTTCCTTCTTCCTGATATTGCTGTCATTCGGAACCGCTACATCGATCACTACGGCCGTCTTCTTCTGTTTATCTACCACCACCACTATGTCCGGTTGGTTAGCCACCACCATTTTGTCCGTCTGTATCTGGAAGTCCCACAGGATCTTAGCTCGGTCATTCTGCACCACCCTTGGGGGCATCTCCCATTTTGACCTCGGGACTTCCGGTTATACTCGCACAGATGTTCCTGTACACTATGCCGGCCACTTGGTTATGGCGCTCCATGTATGCCTTGCCTGCTAGCAATCTTGCACCCTGCTGTTATGTGCTGGATTGTCTCTGGGACATCTTTATACAGCCTGCACCTGGGGTCTTGCCTGGTGTGATAGACCCCAGCCTCTATGGATCTTGTGCTCAGATATATACACATACACCACGCTTTCAATTGTGTAATTTAAGTGATCTAGGTGGCTCTGTTTTTGAAGTTCAGTTAACACTAGAAATTTGTTTTGGAGTTTGTACATGTTTTGTCTCTAGGAGCCACCGCATATATTTATATACAAAAATAAATAGAACCACTTTTTTACGTTAGTAATTCCTTTTGTGCATAGTTTTATATTATTGCTAATAATAAATTACAGCAACAAAATAACCCGAAGAGCCGGGTCTCTAACAAGAGCCAGAAATCCCATCACTAATGCTCGCACGTCAACATGGGCGGGTATCTCCCTCAAGTGCACCAGTGCAGTCCACCATCATGCAGTACAGTATTTCCTACCTGACAATTCTCATCACCTAATGGCGTATAAGATATTCAGAGTGCAAAAGAAAACACAAAAAGGCAGTAAAAAGTGACAAAAACCAAAAGATCGCAGAACAACGCTCTTAAAGGGAAGTGTGTGGCTCTTAAAAGAGCCGTTTGATGGATTAGGGCGACTGAGTTTAACCGCCAAAGCCGTACAGAGTGCGGCCCTGCCTCTTCAGAGCATACACCACATCCATGGCGGTCACAGTCTTCCTCTTAGCGTGCTCCGTGTAGGTAACAGCATCACGGATGACGTTCTCCAAAAACACCTTCAGCACTCCGCGGGTCTCCTCGTAGATCAGACCGGAAATACGCTTCACTCCGCCACGGCGAGCCAGACGACGGATCGCGGGTTTGGTGATACCCTGGATGTTATCACGGAGCACCTTACGGTGACGCTTGGCGCCTCCTTTCCCGAGTCCTTTGCCACCTTTGCCTCTTCCACTCATGGTTATAATTTCTTCTCTGAACGAGCAAAGTCGAATGAAGTTAAACTCCACGGAGCCGTGTTATTATGTGTGCTCGGCGGACGTAAGAGAAAACAGACGGTGTGACGGCGACTCGAAGCTCAGCGGCTCCGCCCACTCTTCTATTTTCTAAATGTGGAAATGTGGTCTTTTGTTAAATGACAAATTAAGTCTAACCGAAGGGAGACTCACACCACACCAATGTCTGAGTGGAGTTCACATTTTTATTTCAAACTAAACCCAAGTGTCCGTATTTGTAACAAAAACCACACACCCTCTTAACGTTTCACCCAGAGTCTAGCATAAGTGTTGAACTACATCAAAACGATTAACACATGTATAGATCACACACACACACACACACACACACACACACGGAGGATGTCACTGTAGTTTGAAATGTGAAACTGAAACGAATCGCGTTTATTTATTGTATTTGTAATCCTGTCCAGGATTTTACGATCAGAATTGTGATTTGAAGCCAAACATTTGCCTCACCAGGATGAGCTCAATAAGCTCTTGTTCACATGTCATTATTTCTGAGAAACCCACTAGTGTATTTATTCAGTGCTTTTCGCAGACAAGGGACCACAAAACTGGACCCCCCCCCCAAAAAAACAAAACTACAAAACCAACCAAATAGTAATAATGCTAAATGATATAGTGATGGCGTTAGGACTGTTCTGGTCAGGTGGTCCATCATTAAGTCCTTGAAATCTCTCTTCTTTTTTTATTCAAAGCATACAAGAGTAACACAAGCTGTAATTTATGTTTCACCATCATGACAGCTACAAATTAAATAAAGTCAGGACATGTACGCTTTAGAAGAGATGTGTGGCTCTGAAAAGAGCCGTTGTTCGGGATTAAGTAAAGATGCAGTTTACTTGGAGCTCGTGTACTTGGTGACGGCCTTTGTGCCCTCAGACACTGCGTGCTTGGCCAGCTCACCGGGGAGAAGCAGGCGAACTGCGGTCTGGATCTCCCTGGAGGTGATGGTGGAGCGCTTGTTGTAGTGGGCCAGGCGGGAGGCTTCAGCGGCGATACGCTCGAAGATGTCATTGACGAACGAATTCATGATGCTCATGGCCTTAGACGAGATGCCGGTGTCGGGGTGGACCTGCTTCAGCACCTTGTACACGTAGATGGCGTAGCTCTCCTTCCTGGTCTTTCTCTTCTTCTTGCCGCCCTTGCCGGCGGTCTTGGTCACGGCTTTCTTGGAGCCCTTTTTGGGCGCTGACTTGGCGGGTTCAGGCATTTTCTTACTTCACTTCCTCACAGCGGAGAATGTGCTCGTCAGCTGAGAGTGGCTCTTTTATTTCCGCTGTATGCAAATAAGGCTGTGCTGTTCCTCGCCTGTCATTGGCCGAGCTGTTGCTCAGGTTTACACAAAGGCACACAGTCAACAGTGAAAAAAAGCACTTGAAATCTTCCACGAATCTCATTATTTACATATGAATTAGAGAACATCACCTTAGTTTTTACTATTTTATGGCATTTTACGGATGCAATGTTTCCCCTCATAACGTCAAAGTTACAGGATATATTGTCCTGAAATTCTCAGGGCTTAAAACCCTTCAGGGTTCATTTTTACAAGTATCCTGTTTTATTGAGCTTTGTAAGAGGAAGTGAGTGTGTCGGTGATATTCAGTTAACAAACAGTCAGGTGAATAATCAACACTGAGACACTTGTGTAGGTTAACGTGCTGCACGGGTGAAAAGCTCAGAGTAAATCACACCGAACTGCAGTATTCGTTTATTTTTATAGGTTACATTGTCAATATGCAAATATAATCACATTTCCTGTTACGCAGGTCCTGATGCTGTCTCTGTGTGTAAGCTGTGTGTGTGTGTCACAAAGTATGTGTGTTGCAAGTCAATTTCTAAGAATAATATAATGCAAGTCAACTTCTGCGGATATGCATTTCTGTGCTGGTCTCTTGCGGTAAATCCCAGTGTCACAGGGTCAGCTTCCTGTTTCTACAGAAAACTGTGTCTGGTGAAATATGTGTAACATAACTTTTGAACCATAAGCAAATAAAACAATAAAAACTCCCTAACAGAGTGTGTTAAAGGGCCTCTTATAATCCTAACTCTGATAAAACTCAGGGTGCTTTGTGATGAGATGCTGCTTTAGCTTTGCTGGCTTCATTTATTTTATTTTTTTACTTCTTGAAGACACAAACACACTTTGGTCTGCCATTGTCATTCTCGATAAAGCCAAATACAAATTAATTATTGTGATACTTTAGCTAGTTTGGCTTTTGCATTACTCGATGAAGTAGATGGACTTAAATATTTGTCCATTGCGCTAATTAACTCAACCCCGGATGATGCACATGTATCTAGGTGCCACCATAGGTTTTTTGCTTATACCCAATCTGTGGATTGGGAACACCAGTTTGAGAGCCTCTGCTACAATGAGAGGAAGATAACGCCAGACATTCATTACACGTTAAAAAAAACACAACGTCGCCTAGCCTTACAAAACAACCACTTTAGTGGACCAAAATTCAACATGCAAAAATGACTTATATAAGATGTCTCTCTGACATGACTTTGTGCAGTGAGTAAATTATACTCTCTACCTAATAATCAGAAACACATCTAACTTAAGATAACCTTTATTAGTCCCACACATGGGAAATCTGCAGGAATATTCCCTCATATCCACCCCTATGTTTTCTTTTCTTTAATAAAGGAACAGCTATGAAGAAGTAACTATACAGTCAAATTCAGCTTTAAACTTCGTTGCCAGTAAATTTAAAAACCAACAACTCCAGCTGCAGCTGCCCCTTCTGGGAACCTGGATCTACCAGAGGTTTCTGACTTTTAAAAATTAGTTTTTCCTTTCCACTTTTGTCAAGGGCTTGAATCAAATCAAAGGAGAGCACACCTGTATACCCTATGCTGTACTCAGCATAAGGTATACATTTCAGATATCAGTCTGTCTTTTCCAGCAGGATTTTGTGGATCAGACCCAGAATAGGAATTGTAGAAATTCAGTCCAGCTGCAGAGTGGACACTGTGCTAACTTGGAATGCTACTCCTAGTAATGCATCATAAGTCAGCTCCTATTAATAACTAAACCTATCACATGATTGCTGGTATGTATTCAGCAAACAATAATCTTCAGCAGGCTCTTGAATTGCTGCAATTAGAAGATTGCTTAATGTGTCTTGACGACACGAAGGGTAAGAGAGAAAGTCGTCCTCTGAGATCAAAGCAGTGAACACTAGCCCTCTCACCTCAGCGATCAGAGACAGCTGTGATTCTACCGAGAGGGTAGTCAACCAACCAAGTGTGAAGTTACACATGAAGAGTAGAAGTTTATCTTCGAGTGAACAAATTTGCCAGTGACCTTCATGGTTGAATTACTGACATTCACTTGTTGTTCCCCTTGTACCTTATAAAAGTCATTAAGATTACATTACTTATTTAGTCATTTTGAGTACTTCTCTCAGTTTTTATAGGATTTCCATAATCAAAGATCCAATCAAAGATAAAATCTTCCTCAGAGGCAAAATCTTCCAGATACCGTATTTTCACGCACGGTACTAAAATGCGCAGTCTCAGTTATGTGTGCCATTACTGTATTTAACACACACATAAGGCGCACCTGATTATAGGGTGTGGGTTTTATATATAATCTACGCCCACACTTCCCCCTTTAATGTTCTCATGGTGTCCTCTACTACGTCCGCCTTACAACAACAACAGACACAAGCATACAAGTCTGCGTATTTAAAAATGGAGCGGGAGCAAAACTGAATTTGGTATTCACATTTATTTTACCGGTAATCGTCATCAATCAAACCCATCGAAGTCCTCATCCTCTGTTTCTGAATTGAACAGCTGCGCTAAATCTCCATCAAACATGCCAGGTTCACTTTCTTCACTGTCAGAGTCACAATTACTTAATTATTATAGTATTAGTCATTATACTGTAAACTACAGGCAATAAAAAGTGAACCACAGGGGCCTTTTATATTCAGCAACAGCTGTGCTTTGTCACAGTCTGCAGAGCATCCTGTGTGGAGTGTTTAAACATGATGCAGAGGCGAACTCCAGTAGAAAATGAGTTCTGCCCCCACATTCAGATGTTGTAGTCAGAATCTGACATAAACAACAGGAAAAGATCCATCCTGCCTTTTATCAGTGGTTCACGCTGCTGCTGATAATTGTGTGCAGGATATGTATTCTTGGCACACTGGGCTCCTTAGCACCAACTGAGCATCGTTTTAAATGGAATACTGCTTATTTCTCAGCAGCTTTTCAGCTTCCACATCTTCCTAGATCTCTTCACTCTAAAAAGGAGAAACGGCACTTTAGGGTCAACTCTAAAATGCTGTATGTGTCATGGTCTCCGCTCCTCGTCAGCTGACAGCCGTCAGGTGTTTTGTTTTTGTTTACCTTTCTCTCTCACCTCTGCTCTCCCTTTCTCTCTCGCCCTCTTCCATTCTCTCTTTCTCCTGCCGGGGCGGAGCTCAGTATGGGCTCCTGCCCCTGGCCTACGCACCTGGAGGTGATCAGCACATCTGTCGCTGATCATGAAAGATTGGAACCCTTCTTAAGAGGGCGAGTCTGCTCTACTCGTCGCTGGATCGTTGAGTCATCAGCGTCAGTCGTCCTGTATTTTGTAAAGTCAATTTATGAGCATGTCTGAACCAGGAGACTAATGGGTTTTTTTCTGCCTGTGCATAGATTGCCTCTGGACTTGTTCTTCCCCTGTGCCTGGCGACTGAACGGGAGCAAGAGAGATAAAGGAGAGGAGATGTGCTAGGACTGAATGGAAACTTTCCCTTCCTGGACTCCTGCCTCTTTCACTCCTGGACCCTGGAACCCCGGCCCCTTTTTCCTTTGACACTATTATGTGTATATATGAATTCCACTGTAGGAAACACTGTAAATAAATGCACCTTTTGAAGACACTAGTGGTCTGCGCGTGAGTCCGATCTACGGAACCTGACAGAACGATCCAGCCACAACATGGACTCAGCAGATCAGAATACCATCGGTCAGGCACTGGCTGCCCAAGAAGCGGCGCTGACTCGCCACGAACAAATGTTACATCAGCTGCGAGGTGAGATCGCTGCACTAACTCAAGCTGTTTCCGGTTTGACTACGCCAGGGGGAGTACAGCCAGGGACCTCCCAGCCGGCTCGCCCTGCCCAGCAGGAGACACTCGCGGCGGCTACGGCCGGTCCCTCATCGGCAGCCACCCCATCCTCTGACGGTCCTCTGCCTTCGCCTGAGCCCTTTTCAGGGGAGACAGAGAAGTGCTCTGGCTTTCTGGCCCAGTGTTCATTGATTTTCCGCGAACAGCGGCGTTTTCATAACAATGACGGGGCAAAGATTGCGTTCTTGGTACAGATGCTTCGTGACCGGGCTTTGAAATGGGCCCAGGTCGTGTTAAACTCCAACCCGGAGATCTCTTTTGAGAGGTTTGTGATTAACTTTAAGACTGTGTTTAATCAGGGCTCTGGAGTCGAGGCTGCGGCGCTCCGCCTCCTTAACTTTAAGCAAGGTAAGCGGAGTATGGCAGATTATTCAATCGACTTTTGGATTTTGGCAGAAGAAACCGGCTGGGGACCGGATGCGCTCAGGAGCACATTGTTAAATAACATCCGGGAAGATCTGAAAGATGAATTGATTATGCGGGACCTACCCACTGCTTTTGACGAATTGATGTCGTTATGTATTAAGGTGGATGAGCGGCTACGAGCTCGTAGGCAAGCACGGAACTCCAGTTCCCAGGAGGCCGCAGGGCCGCGATGGGCGGAGGCTTCGGCCGATTACCGGTCCTCCCGGACATCAGGGGGCGCCGACGGAGAGGTACAGCCCATGCAAATCGGCAGCTCTCACCTAACTGCTGCAGAACGTCAGCGACGCATCACAGCCGGTGAGTGTCTGTATTGTGGTAATAAGGGACACATGATTGCCTCCTGTCCGTCGCGAGCAAAAGGCCGCGCCCGCCAGTGATGGTAGGAGTACTGGTGGGCGGTTTGAATCAGGATAAATCTCCTCCACGTTTAGCCCTGCCGGCTAAGCTTCTGGTCCATTCCGAGTGTCATTCACTTTCTGTGCTTATTGATTCTGGAGCAGAACAAAATTTAATTGACTCTGAACTAGCTAAACGACTCTGTGTGACTGTGGAGTCACTACCCCACGCCTTACGCGTCACGGCTTTATCAGGGCAGCGCCTCCCCGACATCACACACATCACTGAACCGCTCACCCTCACACTGTCTGGCAATCATTCGGAGGAGATTAGTTTTTTTGTTTTTCACTCCACTCAGACGCCGTTAGTTCTCGGTCATCCCTGGCTCCAGCAACACAACCCCACGATTAATTGGCAGAAAGGAGGCATTACGGGCTGGGGAGAGGAGTGTCATATGACTTGCCTTAAGGCTGCCGTACCTCCTAACAAATCTGTCACCGGCCCAGAGCCACCGCGGTCTTCCGACTTAGCAGATGTGCCGTCTGTTTACCACGATCTCGCTGAGGTGTTTCGGAAGGACCGAGCCCAGTCGCTGCCACCCCATCGGCCCTATGACTGCACCATAGACCTGCTGCCGGGAGCTCCCTTACCAACCAGCCGCCTCTATAGCCTCTCGCTGCCGGAACGGGAGGCTATGGAGAAATATATAACTGAATCTCTCGCTGCCGGCATTATCCGGGCCTCTTCCTCACCCGTCGCAGCAGGTTTCTTCTTTGTGGAAAAGAAGGATAAGACCCTCAGACCCTGTATTGACTTTCGGGGACTCAATAACATTACGGTCAAGAATAAATATCCACTGCCTCTGCTCACCTCCGCTTTCGAACTTCTCCAGGGCGCCGTCATTTTCAGCAAGCTGGACTTGAGAAACGCTTACCACCTGGTCCGGATTCGGGATGGCGATGAATGGAAGACGGCGTTTAATACCCACCTTGGACATTTTGAGTATCTGGTCATGCCGTTCGGCCTCACTAACGCACCTGCAGTATTCCAGGCTCTGGTCAATGATGTTCTAAGGGACTTTATTAACCGATTTGTGTTTGTCTATCTAGACGACATTCTGATCTTCTCTTCCTCCCAGGCGGAACACGAGACCCATGTCCGGCTGGTGCTGCAACGCCTTCTGGAGAACCGGCTGTTCGTCAAAAGCGAGAAATGTGAGTTTCATGTGCCCTCGGTTGCCTTCCTAGGGTACATAATCGAGCGGGGAGATCTTCGACCCGACCCTGTGAAAGTCAAGGCTGTTGTGAACTGGCCAGAACCAAACAACCGTCGCCAGTTGCAACGCTTCCTTGGCTTCGCTAACTTCTACAGGAGATTCATACGGGACTTTAGCAGGATTGCCTTACCATTAACTCAGTTAACCTCTCCCAAGCTTGCTTTTCAGTGGAGTGACGCTGTCCAATCAGCCTTTCAGGAGCTCAAGAAACGGTTTGCTTCAGCGCCCATCCTGGTCCAACCTGATACCACTCTTCAGTTCGTGGTAGAGGTCGACGCATCCGACTCAGGGGTGGGGGCCGTCCTTTCCCAACAGAGGGAAGGTAAGATGCACCCTTGTGCCTATTTTTCCCGTCGTCTCACCCCTGCAGAACGTAACTACGACGTGGGCGATCGGGAGCTCTTGGCGATTAAGCTCGCCCTGGAAGAATGGCGGCATTGGCTGGAGGGCACCACTCAACCCTTCGTGGTCTGGACCGATCACAAAAACCTGGCCTACCTTCAAACGGCGAAACGTCTCAACGCTCGACAGGCCAGATGGGCCCTGTTTTTCACCCGTTTTCACTTCTCAATCACCTACAGACCCGGTTCCCGAAATGTCAAGCCGGACGCTCTCTCCCGTCAGTTTTCCGCTGCTGACGAAAAGGCGGATCCGGATTCCATTCTGCCGGCAACCTGTACTATTGGGGTCATCACCTGGGAGATCGAGGCGGCCATCTGGGCGGCTCAGATAGCCGAACCGGATCCGGGAGGGGGGCCCGTCCACCGACTCTATGTTCCGCGCTCTGTCAGATCCCAGGTTCTGCAATGGGCTCACACGGCCCGGTTCTCATGCCACCCAGGGATACATCGCACCGTCAAGTTTCTCCAGCGGTACTTCTGGTGGCCCTCACTCACCCAAGATACTCGGGAATACGTCACTGCTTGTACGGTCTGTGCCCGAAACAAACCATCGAACCAACCCCCGGCGGGTCAGCTCCATCCGTTATCCACTCCTTCCAGGCCATGGTCTCACATAGCACTGGACTTCATCACCGGGTTACCTCCATCAGCAGGTAACACTGTCATTCTCACCATAATCGATCGTTTCTCTAAAGTGGCTCATTTCATTGCTCTGCCTAAGCTTCCCACAGCTCTAGAGACTGCACGCCTACTCGCCACTCACGTCTTCCGCCTGCATGGGATCCCGGAAGACATAGTGTCCGACAGAGGGCCTCAATTTACTTCTCGGGTCTGGAAAGAGTTCTGCAACTCCCTGGGCGCAAAGGTCAGTCTATCCTCGGGTTATCATCCTCAGAGCAACGGCCAATCCGAGCGGGCCAACCAAGAACTGGAGACCGCCCTGCGCTGCGTCGCCTCCACCAATCAAACCATCTGGAGTGAGGAGTTGCCGTGGATCGAGTACGCCCATAACAGCTTGACTGCCTCTGCCACCGGCCGGTCTCCATTCGAAGCTTCCTTGGGATATCAGCCTCCTCTTTTTCCTGCTGTGGAAGGTGAGCACTCTGTACCCTCCATCCAGGCTCATCTGCGCAGGTGTCGCAGAGTTTGGCGGGCAACTCAAGCGGCCCTACTGCGCACGAAGGAGAACAATAAACGCATCGCAGACCGGCACCGGACTCCAGCACCCGAATACTCTGTCGGCCAGAAGGTATGGCTTTCTACCCGCTTTGTTCCGGTCAGGACTGAATCTAAGAAACTTCATTGGCCCTTTTGAAATCTCCGCCTTGGTCAATCCTGTCTCTGTGAAGTTAAAACTCCCTCGCAATATGAGAATCCATGATGTTTTCCATGTTTCACAACTCAAACCTGTCCGGTCTAGTCCTCTGTGCCCTCCTTCCAGGCCCCCTCCTCCCGCCCGGCTCGTGGATGGCTTGCCGGCCTACTCCATCACTCGCATCATGGACTCTCGGCGCCGTGGGCGTGGCTGTCAGTATCTGGTTGACTGGGAGGGTTATGGCGTGGAGGAGCGCTCCTGGGTCCCTCGGGCGGCCATTCTGGATGTGCCCTTGCTCCGGGAGTTTCACCGCCTGCATCCGGACAAGCCTGGTGGGTCGCCGGGGGGCTCCCGTTGAGGGGGGGTACTGTCATGGTCTCCGCTCCTCGTCAGCTGACAGCCGTCAGGTGTTTTGTTTTTGTTTACCTTTCTCTCTCACCTCTGCTCTCCCTTTCTCTCTCGCCCTCTTCCATTCTCTCTTTCTCCTGCCGGGGCGGAGCTCAGTATGGGCTCCTGCCCCTGGCCTACGCACCTGGAGGTGATCAGCACATCTGTCGCTGATCATGAAAGATTGGAACCCTTCTTAAGAGGGCGAGTCTGCTCTACTCGTCGCTGGATCGTTGAGTCATCAGCGTCAGTCGTCCTGTATTTTGTAAAGTCAATTTATGAGCATGTCTGAACCAGGAGACTAATGGGTTTTTTTCTGCCTGTGCATAGATTGCCTCTGGACTTGTTCTTCCCCTGTGCCTGGCGACTGAACGGGAGCAAGAGAGATAAAGGAGAGGAGATGTGCTAGGACTGAATGGAAACTTTCCCTTCCTGGACTCCTGCCTCTTTCACTCCTGGACCCTGGAACCCCGGCCCCTTTTTCCTTTGACACTATTATGTGTATATATGAATTCCACTGTAGGAAACACTGTAAATAAATGCACCTTTTGAAGACACTAGCGGTCTGCGCGTGAGTCCGATCTACGGAACCTGACAGTATGAACTACTGTACAAGAAGGGTTACAAAATGGTAAGGCACAACTTTAGAAATAAAATGAGAAGACTGAAATTATGTGAAAATGACTGCAAGACTTCAGAAGAGGAACGTACAACTGTAAGTATCTCTCTCACAGGTAAGTGGGAACACAAGCTCAAGGCTTGGCTTGTACTTGGGTCGCACTAACTTAGTAGGACAACAATCCAGCAAGTACTCAAGAGCTGCCGCTCCCTTACGGAGAGGCCACAACGAGGGCATCAGGAAAAGGTGCGTGATTAATCCAGGCGTGTGAAGGCAGAAGATGGGAAACCTCACACTTTGAATCACCTTGTTGTTGAATTGTGCTATATAAATAAACTTGCCTTGCCTTGCCTTCACACAGTCCTGCTTCTGCACCAAAACCAGAACAGATAGACACACATGACAGAGAGGAGAGAGAAAGAGAATGGTGAGTTGACCGGCGAGGACAAGGTTTCTTAAAATCGGTGGACGGACAGAAAAGTAATCAATATATAACTCTTTCGGCAAATCGCAGATACTTATTTAAAAAATTTGATGATGTGAGAGAAACTACTCAGGTCTCAAAAGTTAAACAAATATGAAAATAGTCAACAGGATTATTTTAAGTTTAAATTAGAGTAACATCTGAAAACAACAGGATTATTTATAAGTGAGACTGTTAATTTTGTTTTTCTGGTGCAACTCATCATATTTGTTCAATCCAGTATAAAGCATGAGACTTTATGTATTTGTCCCAAATTAAAACTAAATAATTCCACTTTGCAGTAATACCACTTCCAGCTCATCGTGGAATATTATAATAATAATATATTTGTAATTATTATTTTATTAGATTAACACAAGACGACTAAACAGTTTCATGAATTCTTCCTGTCCTGCAAATAACGTTTCTCCTTTAAACCCCACAAAGCCTTCATTGTTGTTCCTCTGAGCTGCGTCACAGTAACTTAATCTCGTACCTCCCACATGTCTACTTCCAAGGAAAGTTGTCCCTCCTTCCCTCAATTTCTCTTTCCTGGCATTTCTCTGCTGCTCTTTAGCTTCCTACATATCTTTGTCCTGAAAAGGAAAAACAGCACTTTAGGCTCAACTGCAGTTTTTAAATGTGCTGACTAGGGCTGGGCCATATCATACAGTTCATGGTAATACCGGTATAATGTCGGGCAACGATAAAAAGATGAAATATCACGATAGAATATGAGTAAAACGCGCATGCGTACCTTTGTTTTCATACGCACATGGCGGAAAAAGCATGGTGGAGAATGAGAAGGGCGAAAGCGGATCGTTAAATGAAACGGATGAACCAGAATTGGTTTGTAAAAATCCTGCAACTTCAGTGGTGTGGAACTGGTTTAGCTTTCGTCCGTCAGATACACAACAAAGCACTATTTTTGGTAGCACATGCTAGCGGCCCGTCGTTATTACCTTGTTTTTTGGAAAATACGGCGCACTTAAAATCAATCCTTTGATTTTTCTGAAAATCGACAGTGCCCCTTATAATCCCATGTGCCTTATGTATGAATTCTGGTTGTGTTTACTGACCTCGAAACGATTTTATGTACACGGCGCTCGAAAATTTGTCAAATGTTTTAGTACAACTTTGCTAAGACGAATCCGCACCGCTTGATGGATTGTCAGAGCATTACGGACATCGTAGGCAGGAGCCTCGCGGAGTGATACGTACTGTGCATCAACATAATATTACGGTATTGTGTGTGTATAACCTCTTTCTAAGTTTTGTGGATATTATACATGGTTATGCTGAGGATATGTCAGCCAATTTCCACTGGAAATTCCTTTTGGTTAAACTGTCAGCAAGGATTTTGCATTTGCACTGTTAACTTTTTATATAACTTTAATGCACATAAAAAAAGCTGCTTGTTTAAGTGAAAATACGTTGATTTTTTTTTTGCACAAATAAAGTTGTGGAGTTGTAAAGTATTTTGTCTAGTGTCACTTATATCGTCAGTTATATCGTTATCACAAATTTTCAAATGTATATCGTGATAAATATTTTTGGTCATTTCGCCCTGCTCTAGTGCTGACTGCTGAACAGGAAAGGGTCGCAAAAGGGTAACATGAAACTTTACAACTTTAGAAATAAAATGAGAAGACAGAAAGGATTTAAAAACAACTGCATGATGGCACAAACTACAAAATCCAACACAAATCAAATCAACCGCTGCAACATGTTGTAGGCATCAATTCCAAATTTTACATTCAGTGATCATTTTTTCATCTCACAAGTTTCTGTTTTTTTCACAGCTGCAGATTCCAAAACAGTGACGTGGGACTCAGGGTAGTGTTTGCATTGCTTTGCTCTGTCTGACAGCTCGTTCACACTCGGAGGACTAAAAGTGCTCTGTGGACGCTCAAAGTCTTTGTGGGTCGAATTATTCCACAATGAAAAATGATTAGGAATCAATAAAAAAAAAAATCAAGTGTGATATGCACAAAAAACTACAAAGACACAAAAAACTACAAAACCTACTTCATAAAACAAAAAGTATTATTTAATAAGATGCAACTATAAAAGTAATAAGGAGGGAAGTTAAAGACGATGTAATCTGTATTTGAGTGCAGTACTCATACTGCTTTACATTTGAAACCACTGCAGATATGATACAACATAAAAAGTTATATACAAATCTTTGTGCTTAACTGCAGTACCCTTATAAACATATCTCATTTATTAAAAGAAAACTCTGAGTACATTGTGTGCAGATGCAGTAAAAATTACTTTGAGCTGTAGAGGAATAAACTGACTTTCGGTAAGTTATCTCTCCTCCTGCTGACGACAGATTCTCATAAAAGTAAAATGAGTCATGTCTCCACATCTGGATTGTTTTAAACGGGGCATAACACCGCCCTCTCCTCCACTCCAGCCAGTCTGTGAACAGCTTCCGTCCCTGCTCACAGCAACAACTATTTCCGCTGGATTTACTGGAAGGAGGAAGACCCTGCTTTGAACCTCCCCTTGTTAAACAAGCATTCCACACAAGTTTCCACCTCTAACATATCGGACGTCCCGCCCAGCAAAGCCCTGAAACCCTTCAAAGCAGCTCACTCAGCTGCTCTCCTCTCACTTCACTTCACTTCGCTGCAGTCGGAGCTCATCTGGACTTTGGGCTTTGGACTTTTCCAGCTGCAAACATGGCTCAGATCAACATCTGCCTCAAACACATCTTCACTGTCTTCAACATATTCTTCATGGTGAGTAAAGAGATTATTTAGGAAATGATAATCGCAGACTTTAATCCAGAATCTCCTTAAAGACATCAACCAGTCAGCAGGCAGACGCAGCAGTCAAAAACAACCACATTTGCCTCCTTTTTTACAATTAAATGAAACCGAAGCTTAGAAGAGTAAAATAAACCGACATCAACTCAACACGTTTATTCTTACTTTCAGAGTTTGTTGTTGTGCTCGTCCACGTGTGTGGCTGTGCAGTCATTTCATATCCTGGTTGTGTTTAAAGGATCCAGCAGCTCTAACCAGACTGTTTCTGTTTGTTCAGCTTGCTGGTGGAGTAGCCATCGCCCTCGCTCTGTGGTATCAGTTCTTCATGGACGTTCGAGGATATAACGTGAGGACACATTCAAACATAAATGTAACATGTGGGAACAAACAGACAAAGCCCACTAACCTTTCGTGACACTTTTGTCCACAGCTGGAGGGTCGCTCCACCCAACTCTTCATCCTCTACGTGGTGGGCTGCATCGCCATGATGATCGCCTTGCTGGGAGCCTACGGAGCCCACAAGGAGAGCAAAGTGGCCCTGATCATGGTGAGTTCAGACTGTCACTGGTTTTAAGTTTTGGGGATGTTTTGGGTTTTTCTCATTTTTATTATCTTTGCATTACAGTATGGTGCTCTGCTTTGAGGTAGGAGCCAAAAAGGGTGTAGTTTGTGTGTGTGAGCACCCGTGTGTACAGCTGTGAGCATGAACGCGCTTGTATTAAAAGGTTCCTTCATGTAATGATCTGCTAGAGGGTGTGGGGAGCCACAGCCCCGTCCTCCAGGGCATGAAGCAGGTATGGAGGAGATCAAAACTCCAGACATCCAGAGGCCCTCAGAACACAAGAGACCAAGGAAGACCAACAGAGGGGCAGCCGCGCCACTGTCCCAGAAAGAGCTGATGAGAGCCCCAGATGAAGGGCCACTCAGCAGCCGTGGAGCAGAAGCCAGGGGGGGTTGCAGTGACATGCCCGTGAGCTCCGCCAGCAGCCAGCTGTGCCAGAGTGACTGAGCCCCAGGTCGAGAGGCTGAGGGCACCCCACCCCCGAAGTGGCCCGAGCGAGACCCAGGCTCCAGGCCCCGACAAGCAGCCACCAAGGAGTGAGCCGGTGTGTACCTGGACGCCCATGCCCGGATACAAAGAACAACCAATGCACTGATGTCTGAGGGCGTCTGCCACTGGCAGGGGAAGTGGTGGGGGAGATAGGCCTCCATACCTTGGAGGGCCTGAGATGTCCCTAGAGAGGTGGCGTCTGATACCCAACCTGACATGCAGGCACACACAGATACAGACATCCATTCCCACCCTCATGCTCTCATATGCAATTACTCATCACTCACCCAACGTGGAGACAGACACAAAGAGACATTGTACACACAATCACACTCCCCAAGCGTACTCTAAGCCCCAGGTCTAGATACCCTTGCCCCTGGAGGGGGAAACTGCACCCAGACCCAGGTAGTGTTTCCCTTTTCCCTGGGGTGGAGAGAAGCAGACCGACCCGACTCGGCAGCAGCAGGGAGGCCCCACATTCCAGACCCCAATCGGACAGCCAACTCCTCCTCCTAGGCCCCCCGCTCCAACAGGCAGCAGAGAACGGTTTTATTTTGGTGGTCTCCCATCTTGTTTGCTGTGTTTAGTTTTGCTTTCTCTTATCTTCCCACATTGAAAAGAAATGGAAAAAACTTATAAAAGACTTG